GAAATTACTTCACCTATATATTATTACTGCTGATGAACACTTCAATTTCTCTTTCTTTTTCGTGGATTAAATCATAAAAATTCAGCAAGTAGTATTTCATTTGCACTTTTTTTGCTAACCTTTTTCTGTATAATTGTTATTTTCCTGGTCCTTTTTATTTAATTCTAATTTTTTCCTGCAATTCTCAGAGGAAATAAATAATTTTCACTCGCATTTTGTATATTTTAAGGTGGGAATTTTTTCATAGCAATATTGCAGAAAGTTTACAAGATTCGTTTTCATTTTCTAAAAAAAAGAAATATTCAACACACAGAGATGACAAAGTTGTAGAAAAGTTAGAAAGAACTTTTCTGATAATTAAAATTACTTTAAATATCATAACATTCTTTCATCACTGACACCATCATACTTTTTTTCTTTTTAATTTCAGAAGAAACGAACGCGAATTCGAAAGATGAAAAAGAAACGGAGGAAAACCGTACGATAATTGCCGTATCGTCCACTTCTGTTGCAGATGACAAATGCGCTTCAGTGGAATTAAAAACGAGTGATGAACGATCGGAATTTGTTATGGACAAAATTGATGAATTAAATTCAACCAAAACAATTCCGCTCGTTAGCGATAACGTTAATTTGTTAGACACAACTTATAGCAATAAAACAAATTTGGAAACTAATCGGAAAAGTTTAACTGCGATGTTCTTGGAAAAGAAGAATTTGGCGGAAAAAGCAGATCTAATCGAAGGTTTGAAAAAAAGGTCATGCAACAGTGAACTTCCAAATATCAGAATCACTAAGGTTAGCCAAATGAATCATCTGAATCCTTTTCCAATTTTTAGCGTGTTATAAGCAGAAAATTTTCAAAATCTTATCATAGATCTGTAATCATTCAGGAACTTTTACCCGATGCATGGAAGATAATGGTAGTTAACATTTTACAAAGATTTTTCTTCCAAACTAATTCAAGAATTTTTTATTATAAGTCACAGTAATTTATTTGGGTTCAATGTTCCTTCAATTCTCATAGCTGATTAGTGAGAAAAAAAAGTTACTCCACCAAGTTCCCTAACTTTTCCTCAGAATTTTTTGAAATTTTAACTGTGCTAAATTCTAAAAATTTGAAATCTCTAGGAAGAAGGACCAGTACGGCAATCATTGCTCAGTTTAGTTATGGATGAGGATGTTCCAGAATTAATGGAAGCCATGGCCGAAAAGGTTTGCAGTGAATTAATTTAGAATGTTTACGTTCCATTATCATCGTTTTCTTCTTTTAAAATTGGTCCATATTTATAGCTCCAATTATCAAAAAGCCAATTCAGTTCACTAAATATCAAATTTAATTTCTCAGTTAGAATTCGTCTTCGAAGATCTCACGCCATCTGTATCCAACGCTGGGGAAGGAATATTGCGCAACTCAGCGAAGCGTTCACGTTCACGTCCGAGAGTTAGTAATCGAAACTTTCATGAATTTGTTAGCACTATAAGTGTAAAATAGTGAATACAATAATTTTAAATCTGATCGTTATATTTTTTGACTCAAACTTATGATAAAACAAGTTGGTTAAATTAGAATGCTCATATTTAGGTTTGAAATAAAATTTAGGAATGACTTGAAATAATTAAAATGAATAGACATAAGTTAAAGTATTTCATTTTGCAGGAAGCAAAACTAGAATTTCATTCATCATCACCAACAGTGTTCACATATCCCGATGAAGAATCAGCTGTTGAGAAGGCACAGTGGGATGAAGGCAAATTGATCACTTTTACAGTTTATCGAGAACTCTGCGAAGGGTATTTTTTTTCTAATCTATTAGTAGAAAATAGAATAAATCAAGAAATTTAAAAGCAAATCTGTTTCTTCAATTTTACTATTTCGATGCCTCTTATATTTATGGCTTGCTCATTCCAGAAAAAAAGAACGGTTGGTAGACGACAATTACAAATTTCAAAGTCTTTTAGAACCTTCACAAATTGCGAATAATACAGAATTTCCATTCGTAAGAAGTGAGTTTCAATATTTTCAGCAGAAATCTTTATTTAAATCATTAAAGACTGAACTCTATTCAGTAAATATATAGCACAGAGTAAACATAAGTAAAAGAAAATATCGTCTTTAGTTTTTCATTCAAACTAAAACAAACAACGATTAAAAAAAAAAGCCAAAGAATGAGTGCTATTTGATTCATTCTATTCAACTTAGTAGCAAAATGTTCTCAGCTACAAAAAATATCATTCACATTTCATTTCTTTCATAACTCATACTTTTCTCATTGTATAAATAAATACAGCCTTGTTTCTAAATGCATAATTTTTTCTCAAAAATTTAATTTATTTATTTCTTCAGCAGCAACATTAATGGAAGAACCATCAATGGCTGAAAGTTTACTAGGTGTTACGGGTCGTATCTCATACAACAGTGCTCCCATCGATTTAGCTCGATTCAATAAAAATACAGTGTATGTATCATCAATTTCACATATACGAAAATAATTTCTGCAATAAATTAAAAGCTTACAGTGAAATAAATATTTTCCAGATCACTGATAGCCGGTAAATGACCATCCCATAACAAGTGCAAACTGCAGAGAAATAGAAATTATTATCATCAAATTCTTTATTTCCATATGTGACACTTCTCGGGATATCTTACATGCTATAGGAAGATACAACAAACAATAAGTCTTTACAAGAAATATTTCTACAAGATTAGTTATGTTCATAACATTGGTTGTTATCAATACCTCTTCAAAATGGCTTATCATTTACTTTGCTGTGAATAATTTAAAACAATGTGATTGTTAAATGTATCTTGTGAAATGAATAAATATGATCATTTTTTCTAATGCTGAAAGAGCTGGGCAAAGTTGGAGAACGCTTAAAATGTTTAATTCCTAACAGCTCACTCAAATATTAATGCATCGTTGCTGTGTGCACAAAATACAATTTAAATTTCATGAAATCTCTAAATAAACAAGTGTGCAACTTTGAAAATAACTTTGAATTAAACAATGAATCCAATTATTTACCATTTAAAGGAGGAAAATTAAGTGATAAAGATAATTATAGCACTTTTTTTTTTACTAAAACAGACTTTAAAATCGTGTATAATAAGACCAACTGTTTGAAAATTATGTATAACAATAAAAATATGAATCATGGAGTGCATAATTCCAAGTTGAATGAGAACAAAAACAAAGAAATGACTTATTACTACTATCGTTTCAATTAGTAGAAGAGTAGCACGGAATGAAGAGACAAAGTTGATTTATCCATTTGATCACAGGTGATATTTATAAATTAAATGATCACTTAACATAATTTTCTGACTCGTTCTATACTGAAATATAAAATAAAAAAGTAAATAAGATAATTCTTTGGTAACAGTAATAAAGGTAATAAACAACCAGTGAATTCTTTTCCTAGGTTAAAACAAAAATTCGATTTTTCAAAATTAAAAGTACTCGAATTAGTTCATTAGACGAAGACAATTTAAATTCAGCACTGAGTTAGTTAAATTTGCTTTTGAACAAAAATATTTTGAACATATTTTATTAGTGCGCCTATTGATGAGAGCACTAAGAGCGCAGTAACACAAAACATTGTACCATTCTTTGAGCTTCATTATTAATAGTAACTAGATTTTAAGTTTTGTAAACGAATGGAGTTGTTAAAATTGTATTGACAAAAGTTGAGAGCTGAATTAGTTCCCGTGACTTATATTCTAAGATTCTTAGCTAAAAGAATAACAGGATTTTGAATATTATCCACTAAATTTTAAAATAATAAAATCATAATAATTTGTTTGAAAAGCAATGCTTATTTCCTCATTTCGCATGCCATACTATACTGAATTTGTTTTGAATAAATTTCTCTAACTACTCTAAATTGAATTTGATAGATAATTAAATTTCAAAATACAATATTTTTTGAAAGCCAACCGAACCAACCTTTCAATCAGTAATTGCCGAATCCAGGTACTATTTATAAATCTGCGATCTATCTGAAATATCGAGTTAAATATTTTTTTAACGAGATTTTTAATCTGTAGTAAAATAATTTTAATAGCACATTAAAACTTCAAGTCACTTTGGTTTCTACATATTAATTTATTAATTGAAAAAAATTACCTGCAAAGCATCTATGATATCTGCAGTACACAATGGCGTTTTCATGGATAGTAAAACGTAAGAATCGTTAAGGCAATCTCCTTCAGCTCTGAAACAAACTACTAATTCCTTTTCTGCTAAGAATTTAGAACTGTAACATAACAGATCCTATAAAAAAATTAACTCACCGTCTTTTACGAGCACCAAACATATGGCATATCCCGGCGCTATTCACCAGATGGCTTCTTTTCATTTTCAGCACTTCTTCCAATATATTTTTTAAAAGCGTCTGAAATAATAGCAACAATAACTGAATGACACGATAAACTAGTTGACATGGGTGTTTCCATGATATAAAACTGCATCAGTAAAGTTAATTAAATTATTGCTGATAAAAGACATACCTTTGATGCATCAAGTAATGTATTGCAAAGATCATCATTACACTGTTGCCATTTAAGTCCATTTCTTGGAACTGTAAACAACAGTCGTTTCCTTATCTGAAACTATGATTAAAAAATGTTTGCCTTATCTATCTATCATCAGGACCGAAAAACATGAAAATTTTAATCTTATAGAAGAAATGGTAATTACAATCTTCTAACTAGTATTGTATTGACTGCAATTACTAAAAACAGTCATGATTTTGGAACCTAACTTGAAGCTAGCATCCAGCTATTGAGAGAATTCCTTACAGGATCATATACAAAGATAACTAAAGTAAAATTCTAGCCAAGATGATACACAGCCTAGTTGGCTCACCGCCAAGTAAAAAAAAGTAGGTAAGTGTCAGAATGCATTAAAATAATACGATAACCTTGCATTAAATGTTTATTATGCAAGATTAAAATGAAACGCAGATAAACCTGTTCCTTCGACCAATCCCATGTTTGCTCATCGCCAATAATATCTCGATCTGTTTCTGAAAACACAGTGGATCGTTGCTGAAAAGAAAATCAGTCTCCTCAATTTGCAAAAATTACATACAAATTTTATATTGAACGATTTAAGAATTTTGATCGAACTGCTTACCCCAAATTCATTAGCGAAACCTGCAAAAACTTCATCTGTTACTCGTCTATTTTCATTCAATAATTTGGCATAGGCCATACTGAATTCATTTGCGGTGATCTATCCGACTACCTTAAATATTTTAAATGAAGATAACATCGACAGAAATACCAGTCCTTGGACCAAAAGCAAACGAGTGTGCACATCAATTAAAATGTGCTGTTTTTCAAAACAATTGAAAAGGATAAAAGACCTGGAACTACTAATAGACAGTCGTTCGAAATAGCCAAAATGCTGTTGCAAATAATTTATTGGTTAAGTACGAATGTATATGGATCAGCAACCCGATATATCAGTGCTTTACCGACAATTTTCATTAACAGTAGTAAACGATAATACACTTGATCGATCTAGTACGACATAATTTCGTTCTCTATGCTACATATCATTTTGTAGCAACTGTTTCCCGACAAAAAAAATGAAATTTTCATTTTCAGCATAAAATTTCCATAAATTATGCCAATCCAGCTTCCACAAAAAAGATAAATTATGCAAAATTACTGCACACTGCACAATGCATTAATTCATAGAATAGTTGTAAATGATCTTGAATTTTGCGATTCAAATCTCAAATTGCTTGCTTCAACTGAACTGTAAATTTCGAAAGCTAAAAAATCAATACAAGATCATTAAAAAATTCAACTTCAACCGAAAATTATCACCTGATCCTAATAGTAAAATCATGTCACATCAGAAGAGAAAAGTAGATACAGAATCAAAGCTATTGAACAAATTCAAAGAAGCATGCTTATTAAGGAATAAATAAAAGCGATACTATATGACAATCACCACTCTCAATAACAAGGCCACAGACAACATCACAAGAAGAAAATGAAATAATAAACTATGTCAATATATGATATATATAAGAATCATAATACAATGATACAGATTTAAATGAGCCAAAATAAATGAAGTATCAAAATATTGAAATTGCGGACTCATTATTGCTTCATAGATTTTGACTTAACAATGTTTTAATGAATTCTACTGCACTAGTGAACTGAGTCCACCAGTATGCTTCGATGCCGGTTATCTGATTTGCATAGAATGCACCAATGTACTGGATATTCGACAGTAGGGATGACGGATTTGCCTGGAAAACAAATTGGGAATACCTCGATTCTGACCGAAATCTACGACAGAAGTTTTCGTCTTCATAGAATTCTCATTCAACGCGTTATGCAGGTTTCCTCGACAGAAAAAAATATTACGGATATGCAAACATGTTATCTCCACTTTCTTATTCAATCGATAACCAGATATCCCCTTTCATAAAAGGAAATAAATAACATAAGGCTATTATTGATACTCATTTGCTAATTATGACCTTTCTATCATTGTATTTTATTTTGTCTATTAGCTACAATATTACAGCTGGAAAAAACCTTACCTGAATGAGAACATAAACAAGTACAGGGGTAATATCGTCTGCTGAAGCGGCTCCTCTTTCGGATGCAAGAATAATGAGATTTTCAATCGTTTCACAACATCTAACAATACAGGCCATCTTATCCCGTGGTGATTTATATGCATTTATAATTCCAATTTCTGCTTGCGCTGAAGGCCATGGACATTCGCCATGTAATCTCTGAAAAATAAACAAATAAAGAAGACTGAACGAAAAAGGTTTTTAGTTTGACTTAAAAATTTATGTTGAGGAAAACTAAATTATAAATTCAAACATTATAAATGAAGATCGAGTTTTTAAATAACATTTATCAATACTTTTTTCTCTAAAAAAACTGAAATGGAAAACAAAACAAAGTTTTACCACAGATATACGCAACTGAGGATGGTCCGGGTTAATCTCCATCGCTAATTTTTGGACTGATTTGTGGAAAACACTGAAACAATGCCTCAGGAGCCAAATCAAAGCCAATCAATGGCGAAGTAAATTACTGTTAGATGAGGAAAAGCACTAAGCCTAAAAAAATTAAAACTCTGTGAAAACTCTGTTAAACTCTTCCTAATAATATTTGAAATATGAAGCAACTATTCTAAAAAAAAGAAACCTGTCTCTACTTTGATCAGCTTCACCATTTGGATAAAGTGCATACACATAAAGCTGAGCCATTAATGAACGTTCAACACTTTTTTTTACAAACGAGATTCTTTCTGCGTTTGCAAACCGCCATATCTTCTCATGCGGTAAGCGCTCATACAATGAATTTAAAGCACGTTCCATTACATCCGTTCTTTCATCCTGCAGAAATTATGGAGTTTTTTCAACGAATGCTACAAATACTAACAAAAATATTCAATGCAAATAAAAATAACAAGTTGATAATATATACCTGAGCTTTTAAAGTCTGAAATTCAGCAATGAATCTTCGCAACTGCATATCACGCTCTTCCAGATAAAATCGAACGAGCATGTCTACTAAGCACTCACCAATCAGCAATTTCTCTCTGTAATCCATCAGAATGGCATCATTGTCCTTTTCCAATGCCTTAAATACCACCAGGGTCGCTGAGGTGATTACTGCTACTGAGATGCTACCAGAGATTTCTTCCGGAGTTATTTATTTCATCCCACTGTTGTCAGGATTTGAACTAGTTAAATCTGATCAATTCCCAAGTAAAAATATGATTGACGTTTGTAAAATGTATTTGCTGTATACTACAACAATACCCCAGGATGATAAAATTAAGTTCAATAATAATATTGCAAACCTCTGAAGGCGAATGGCTAGTTTTTCTAAATTAGAACGGAGCTGAAGTAGATTAAGACGAGACTGTTGCAAATAAAGCATATATGCCGTCCGCTTTCGATGTTCACCCTTCAGAGCTCTTAACAGTTTTCTAACCCTAAAAAACTCTTCTCATAGAAAAGTAAACATCTTATATTTCAGAATAATGCTACATATTTGAAATTATGTAAAAAGAATTATCAGAAGAGCTGGTATGAGAAGTACAATTTAACACTATGGGATTTATTTACATTTATAAATATTTTTTTTGAAGTCAAGCGAGTATAAGAAACCATTGGTCGAGTAAGGAAATTAAGCAATGATTCTAAAGAAAATGTGTAACTTACGCTTTGTCATCGAATGCAACTAAGCAGCGCATAACTTCACGAATTTGTGCACAAAGAGTTTTATCTTGCCCATTGATACTTTCTGCCAATAGAATCTGCAGAAATTCCGCCAACTGCCGTGCATCATTCTTTCCACTTCAACAAGCGACTGATATTAAGTAATTATTGCAGAAAATGTAAACTGTTGAATGAAATTTTAAATCATTTACCTCATCCTCATTTTGGATCTGCGTAAAATATTTTCACCTCCCACAGAAGATACTCCAGGTAATGAAGCCACTGAACTCAGTACCAAACGTAATTTTCGTTTGACATCAACAAAAGCACGACACTGAGTAAGATTATCAGGATCGTAGTATAATTCTGAATTTTCAGATGTTTTTTCAGTTTTCTCCTAGAATAAAGCATAATTCGTTAATGAGAACTTTCTGCAAACTTGAAAGAGTCACTGCTTGATTTCCTTATACAGCACAATTATCAATGAATTAATTTGAAGGTTGTCCTTACCGTTTCCTGATTATTTTCATCCAGATATTGATTATTTCCTCCAACTGAATATAAAGGGACTGCTTTCCCCTTGTATTTGTCTAGAATTTCATTTGCTGTTCGCTTGCTCAAATCTGCAGTGATATTCAATTCATCAAGAGAATGACTTTCAACAAATCGGCCAACTCCTGTACCTGAAATCCATTCTTGGATTTTACATAAAAACATATCGGAGCTGCATTTTACACATTTCTTGCAGCTTTATTTATTTTTCTGCTGAAAAAATTTGCAGTGCTAACATAAGAAACATTTACCAAAGGATGAGGCGGAAGAATTTTTTTCATTTGTGCCTTTCAAGGATGTCATTTCATTCATTGTTGTAGCTTGAGATAATGACTGGCGAAGTGAACTCACTACAGCACCTAAAATTAAAAAAAAAAAAAACAAATCAGTTCTCATTCTTTTTGTCACTTCATTATTTATAGATGAAAGTCCATTCTCATGTGCTTTTATTTACAAAACTTTTAGAATACCCTTATGCTTCTGCTAAAGAGATCAAACATAGAGATACTATTTGCATTTGTAGAATAACAAAATCATACAATTCTTAGAAAGTGCTATATATATTTCTTTTAAGGCAATAATCTGCTGCACGCTTAAGACACTTCGTTCTACTAATAACCAAAACTGGAAAACAAATATGGGAAACCTTTTCTCATCTTCAGTGATTCGCCTACTTTATGCAAACCGTGAAGTATATTCATTTTCTTTCGTATCAGTGGACTCTCATTTCTTTCATTATCTTCATTCTGAGCTCCTTCAACAAAAAAAATTATAGCATAATGTATAAATCAATGTTATGAAACGAATCGAAAAAAATTTTTAATTTAAAATCAGAAATCGCTTCCAACACTTACGCAGATGAGAAGTTGCAGAAGGAATACGATATGTTTTTGGCATAGCTCCACTATTAACCCAATTCGCTCTTATAGCCTCTTCATCTATTTTATTATCGTTGCTGTGTTCGGTTTTTCCTACCTAGAAAAATGAAAAAATGCAGCCTCCCTCTGATAACATTAAAATTTGGTTCAGGTTTTAAATGAATTCAAACTTATAATTTTGAAGTAAAAACAATAAACACGGCGAAATGTTGAAATGATCCAAATTTGGACAATGAACGAACGTAATTTTTGTTAAAACATGAAGGAATGAGCTAAGTTGTGAATGCTTAAGTGCTTTTTGAATGCTTTTTTTTTCTTTTTTTTTTAAGTTATAATGCTTAAATGCTTACCACTGCATGTCCATATTCATTACATTTCTCGGCTATTCGTGTATTTGTCACAGTGACATCATTTTTTGACGAATTCATTAAATCATCACTAGTTGGAATAACATTTGATCCCGCTTCCATATCATCATTGCAGAAGGAACCTGCTGTTGCCATTACTGAAACAGCTGGACTGGTCGGCGCTAGTTCACCTACACTGTTGCGAAAAGACGGAATGTAATCGCCAGGTAGCGATGAAAGCGCGTCATCATTAAGATCCCTAGAAAACATAATTCAATTTCATTTCAGAATCTTCCGAGAAGCTCTCTTTTACCAGTCATGTTATTAGTGTGAGCAATGATTGGGTATTAACTAACTTGGAAAATTCAGAGTCAACATCAGACTTTGAGTAGAAGGAACTTCCACTGGACTGACGTCTAAGACGTTCACGACCGTGGCCGCCTGATGTAGAAGCTACCAGATTCACTTGATTCAGTTCACGAAAAATTGAGGCATCAGTTGAAGACGTAGGCGCCGGTTTTCTAAAACAGATAAAAGCTTAAATAGATGCAGAAATTGTTGCTCAGAACTTCTTTATTGCATGTTTGAAGATTTTCAAACTTTGATTTTTTTTCAAAAAATTTCTTCATTGCAAAAATGTATATGAAAAGTACAATACTTTGCAATATGCTGAAATGAGAAATTGTTCCCCCGAGAAGCTTCGCTCTGAGTATGCCCTCCAAGTGTTGCTTGAACAGCTGCGCTGCCACCTCCTATCATATTACTTTCGTTGCAAGTAGAAACTAGCAACGTTGCGTTTGCACTACCACTAGCAGCTGAAATATTTAAATGCAGTGGCGAGAAATATGGATGAGTAAATACAGTTCAAGAAGGTTAATGCCAACAATAGCTAATTGATGTAAGAAGTAACTGCTTAAAAATTCTGCAAAAAAATAAAAAAATACTAACCAGAGGAAACATCGGCCCCATCAGGATCATCAATCATTAACAAATCGTCGTTCCTTTGAACAGGATCTGCTTCAGAATCACTGGCCACAGCATCTACAGACCACGTATCACTTCGGTCTTCGCCATTACCTGCTACAGCTAAAGATCCAATAGCACTGCTAATGGTGGACCGTTGTGAACCCATCCCTGTAAAGATTTGTAAGATCTCTAGAAGCTTGTTCTAAAGCCAAAGTACAGAATCTACGCACCACATGTCCGAGGTGTTTAAAAAGAATTATTCATATAAAATAAAATGACGTCAAAACCTACTGATTGGTCTACTTTCATTTCGAGGTTCGCCAACTTCTACAACCGCGGGTAGCACAGGAGGAGCAACTGTGGAAGTACTGTTATCTCCTTCTTGTCTAGCATCAAAACCGAAACCTTCCGTATCTGACGGTAGAACATCGGTAGACCAGCTTTCACTAACAAGTGAATGTGTTTCATCACCTGAAACTGACCGAAGCATACCGTGAAAAGTTATACTGCAATAAGTTGTAAAATGAATTTTGCTGCTTTCGTTTCATATTCTATCAACAACAGTTTCATATGTTAAAAATCGAATTGAATTTGATAAAATTATAGGTGCTTTGTTAAAATATCACTAAAAAAAACCATACTAAATAAAATTCCGTAACTTTAAATAAATTCCGTAACTCAACATACGATATTTATGACGGCCCTCTTGAGAAGGCAAGCAAAATTTCCCAAATTTGTCTTCGAGGCCTTCAGTATTTTCGCGACGAACGGTTACTGGCAAATTGAGGAGATTATGTTGGCGAGCATTATTGTTTTCTTGGATTGCATTATTGGCATTTTCTGTAATAATTTTAGTCAGTTTGAAAACACTGCACGTATTGGAAAAGAACTCGTTTCGTTTCATAATGAATCTGATTAATGTCGTATATTTTTCATTAGTTAGTTATTCTCAATTAATTACTCGTATCAAAATATAACTTTTCTTGCGGGCGGAACGTACCTTAATTTTAAGAACCTTTATTTCAACACTATTTTCCAGATTACATCATTCACAATATACTCAGACCGCAGGTATTAGTCTGCCAATATCACTTTCTTAACTTACCGCCATTTGATGGTGCAGTTGATCGGGCTGAGCGCGAACCACCCCGATTGGAAGCCGGATCACTGACGCTTGGTGAACCACGACCAGAAACATTTGCACTACTGGGAACAACATCACTGAAATTGTCCGGTAAGGTTGATACATCTTCAGCATCATCATCCATACCATCAGCGTTACCTTAAAAAAGCAATTATTTCAAGACGCATGATTGAAGTCAGTTGTCATAAGATAGTAAACATAAAAAAGTAAATTCTTGGAAATGGTCATTTTGCAACAGATCTGAAAGAAGAAGAAACTTTTTATGGACAAAGCAAAGTACAATCAACCGAATCTTATTTACCTTCGATGGAAGAGGATAAACTTGCTGCTTCTTCATCATCGCTCCCACCATCGGTGGTACGATCTGAAAGAAGTATCAGATCTGGTTCAATTTAAATAAGAATCAAACTCATATTTAAAATGTTAACAAAGCCCGCTACCAATGCTTTCAGTATCAACAAAACGAGTCCGTTTTTCAGCTGATTCATCCGATGTTTTATGTTTTCGCACTCGTTGCGGATTTCGAACTGATTCCATGAATTTTTCTTCAGAACACATTCCCAATGGTTCTCTACCTTCACCAAGGGGAAATACAAGTACCTGAAACAAGCATTACAAATTCAAATGCAAAACTCAAGAAAATGAAAATCAAGACCAGATTCAAAAATATTTCATTGATTTACATTTCAGGACTTTTTCCACTACTGCAAAATAATGATATAACTACTTTTAATTACTTAATACAATTATAACAATACCTCAATATTTTCTGCTTGAATACGGTTTGATTCAGGAGACTCCGTGGACTTGGAATGTTTGGATCGCAAACCTTTTTGATCATCACTTTGAACTGAAAACATTTTTTCCTTTGATTATATAAGAAACTTTAGTAAGTACTTTTTAAAAACGAATTTCTTACTTAAATCTAACGTCTTAGCGTCACTGGAGAAAAGATCTGCATTTCTGTCGTTTGATGGGTTCCCCTAAAACAATAAATGAAATAACCATTTAATTCGAAATAAATCTATATGAATAAGAAAGAGAAATCAATCAGCGTCTAAAGTTCATAGAAAACTTGAGAGATTAAAAAATAGTTATGTGCCTAAATTGCAGTTTTTTTCTAATAGTGCATATTCTAATAATTAATTCTTGAAAACCAACAACCTCAGCATTTGATATATCACCCCGCGCAAGTTTTATTGGTAATCGTCGTAGTATTCCAGTTAATGCCCGGCGCACCGATTCATCACTTGTAGGACTACTTGTTAAACAACGAACAGCACTAATCTGCAATAATAGTTCTCTTTTTAAAAATTTTAAAGTACTTTCTGCCACCAATCTACACTCAAAAGCAAGAGTTAAAACAAATCTGAATAAAGGAAAAAAAGAAAAACGAGGAAAATCAAGAAGAATTACATCTTCAATTTCTATTTAGTACAATAATAATTTGAAATACGATATTATAATTAAATTTATTTAGGGAAATCCAAGATGGCAAAAAATTTTTCCACTTACCAAAGAGTCCAGTTCTGCAACAGTACCTACGAACATACGTCGGACAAATTGTTCAGCAACTTGAGGTGGTGATTCATTACTGACCGCGCATATGCTTTCTATTGATTCACCATGCGTTGTAAGGACATGCTGCACCACACATGACATCGACTGCTACAAGAGAATTGTGATGTAGGAACTCTACAGAAGCAGCATTATTTAAATTAGTGCTTGCTCTTTTAACTTGTTATATGATATCAATTCCTTCAAAATTTTAGATGTGAAATATAAAAAAATATGAAACAACTACTTGATCGAACTGAGAATAAAAATGGGCGATATGAGTAGAAGGTGGCTCAAAAGGTGCAACAGCTAGTGTCTGCAAAATCTGCCCAATCTGCATCAAATTGAACCTGCAACTTTATACCACCAATAAATAAGCAGTAACAATAACATAATTAAGTTACTTTCAACTTCTTTTAAGCTTACAGTTCATTTGATCAAGCTCTTCAAGATTGGGGTTGGTTTTCAGGGAGAAAATTTAACAATAATATATTTTGGCATCTATTTACAAATCAATGCGAATATAAGAGACAAGATAGTAAATTTCAGAAAATGAAACGGAAATATTAGAAAAGAAATAGGACATAAAAATACAAACATCACACGCTGGAAAAAAAATGTATAAACATTATATGTTGATCTCAAAAATACTCTAACCTTGCCATGTAGGTGACAGGAGTATCTGATATGACTCCAAGAGTCTCAGGATTTGCAATGGCAGGACAAATAAGGTAAGTGAAAATTAAATCCGTGCAAATCAACGTAGCCTGCAGTATTTTAATAGTAGATATTGTATTCCAAATGAATATACGAGTAGTGAGGTTAAAGAACGTATCAAATGTACAATGGTTGATTCATAGAAATTAAAAATGAATGAATGAAGAAAAGAATAATTGATACCTGTTCACGACTAAGTTTTCTGTGATCAACTAAAACAGTGTACAATCGTCGAACAATACAGCCCAAGCTTTGAGGAAAGCAAGACATTGCATCTGTTATGGCTGAAAAAAAGAAAACATTTCAAATAATCGATAATCAAATCACTTGTAACTGTGTTTCCAGATAGATTCAGTGAATTACCTCGAATAAATCGATTTGCAATTGATACCAATTTTGATTCAACATATCGACGATGAACAGTTAATTTTTGCAAAAAAGTAAGTGAATTTTCATCTTCACCAAAACTAAAAAAAATTATGTTCAAACTTTTTGATAGAAATGTTAAACTTTTTTATTATTAAGATGATCAAAATTAATAATAAAACATCAACTAAAAAATTTTTGCACATACCGTCTTCTTCTTTCTTCCGCAGGAAAACGTATTAACGTTTTTGTGGGTTCGATATCCAAAAAAACATCGTCTTGAGACAATACGAACATCACCGGATCATGCAAAGCCGCCGTCAGAAAAATCTAAATCAGGGCATTGTCAATGTGACACAAAATACTGATATAACTTTATGTTTTATTCCATGAAGCACAATATCTTCTCTTAGTGGAAAATAACATCAAACCTTTGCGGAATACATTCCTTCAGAGAACAAACGATAAAGTTGACAAAAAGAGACATTTCCTCGGCGCAACAGCAAACGTGGGTCGGAGTGTGAAGCCAACTGAATATCCAACAGATGAAAAAGGGTTTCTAACACGCGACGTTCATCTTCCGGAAAAACCGCACATCCGTACAGAAGGCTGTAGACACATGAAACCAGCTCAACAAATGGTGAATCATTATTCTGAAATTTTTTGATTTTTTTACATAGATTTTGGCATCAACTAGACTGCTTTTGAGAATACACTCGAACACAGCAGCTCATGTATGGACCGATGTAGGCATCTCAAAATTAAAGTCGTGCTTATCCATTTGATGTGATGCGCACTTCTAATCATTATACTAGATTTAGCAAATAATTTATAGTACTAAAATAATTAGCTTCTTACAGTACCTTCTTACATTACAGTACAAATAGCTAAATAAAAATAATCTAAGAACTCAAATAATCTAAAATGATACCTTCAACGTTTGGTCATTAGCATGTAATATTTCAGCTACTAAATTTGGTGAGTTCAACAGTAAATTCAGCAATTCCGTAACGCTACTGTAATGCTGCCCATCAATACGACGATATCCATCGATAAAACTAGCGGAATCGAACTGAGAAGTTAAAAAGCAACAATTTTCGGGTCGAACATCCGGATGGGAATTGATTAAACGTGACAAAATTGTCTGAAACTTATCTTCTTATAGGGTTGACTCTCAATTTGTCGCAACTATCGTCAAACAAAATTTTTATTCATTCAACAAATCCAAATGAATTAATTCTTACCATATAATACTAAGCAAAAATGAGGTTACGTCAAAAACATCTCAAACTAAGCAACGACTAATTGTACTGTCATGCAACGAAAAATGCTATTGCAATGATGTCTTACCTGTTCTTGCCTGCATATCCAAGCTAGATGTGCTAATTCACTTTGTGCATTATCAACTTCTTCGTTAAGTCGCTGCAAAGTATCCAGTTCACTAGCTACAAGTAATTTTTCGGATCTTAACCTTTCACAGAGCATTGTGAGCGTATCCAATCCTGCGTGTTCATTACATAAATCCATTTTGCCAGTCCTTTACAACTTAAAAAGCTACTGCAATTAAAAAGAATATTGAAGTTTTTTCTTAGCCGAAAATATATATGGAAACTGGAACATTCATCAATAAAATCAGCAACAATTCTCATCAATTGAATAAGAAGTCAACTTCACCATGTATAAGATAAAATAACCATCTCCTACAAAAATTCAAAAAAAAAGATCACTTCTAACGTCCCATTCAATATTTTTGCTGATATGTGATAGTGTAAAATTATGAAAATATAAATTGATACTGGCAATCCAGATCGACTACAATAAATAACAACTAAGCTATTTTATTCCATTCTAAACAAACACTCCCTGTTACAGAAATTTATAAAATATATACATTTGTAAAATCTTCATTCAAATTGCATGAAAAATGGGATGCGACAACATGAAGTAGCATCAGTTATTTGGACTTTTAGCATTCACAAAACAGTTGTTATACTGTCTATACAATAAAAGTACTAGGACATTCAAACTTCTAAGATTCAGGCGTAATCATGAGCGGTACGCGGCAGCTTCTTATCTGCATTTTTAGCGTGATAATCAGATATGCGATGCTCGATTTCCGGTCGAAAATGGCGAATTAAACCCTGAAAAATGAACTAATTCTGTTATCACATTAATTTACTTTGCACGCCAGTCAAGAAAATTGTTCCATTATCACTGGCGTCACTACGACTCACATTAATTACAGTTGTTTTTGTTGAATTCCGTTGTGTTTTGACCAAACAGGTCCTCACTGTCAAAGGGATTTAAATTAGACACAAAAATTTCAAGAGTATTATACAGTGTATCAGTAATTTGACAGTCATAACTCACTTGTATAGGCCATGCTGCTGCATCACCAAGAGCACAAATTGTATGTGCTTCAATTTGTTTACTTATTTCCCACAAACTATCAATTTCACTGGTTTTTGCTTGACCTTTCACAAACCGCCACATCACAGAGTTTAACCACTTCGTCCCTTCTCGACATGGAGTGCACTGAAAATCTAGACGTGCTACTATTTTTTAAAACGGTCGGAGAACATATTTTGAGTTCATGACTCAGGAATTAAACGAAACAGATCTATACTAAATATGTGATACTTTCTCAACTTGAATAAATCTGATTTTTAACATTGAATTCTTTTGACTTCGAACAATTATTCTGATCATGAAAGGAAATTCGATAAAAAACATTTGAAATACTGTCATCTTCTAAGAAATAAGTGACAATTATTGAAGAGCTTACAATCATCATACCTGTCCACAACTTTCGTGTCTATAAAAATGTGAAAGTCTGGCAATGCACTTCACAATATCAACTTCCCTATTCATAACAATTACTGCAGCAGTTCCCAAACCAGATTGTACAGCGATTAAAGCATCGAAATCCATAAGAACCGTTTCGCAAATACTTTAAAATAATTTGAGTCAGTGCAAAAAGTGTATGGCCCGTATATGCATTATGGATGGAAAAACCTAAACAATACAGGTAAAATCCATCCATACTATAGCAATTCATATTTAAATCAGATTGAATAATTTCATAATATCGTACATTCTAGAAAACAATAAATGTAATGGATAGAATATTAACTCTTTAGGAATCAATGGAACTGATGAACCGCCAGGTATTATAGCCATGAGATTGTCCCACCCACCGATTACACCTCCACAGTGACGTTCGATTAATTCCTTCAGCGGAATAGACATTTCCTCTTCAACAGTGCACGGATTGACAACATGTCCCGATATACAATAAAGCTAAAAAAATTCAATTTGCGAAGCCAAGAAACCAAGTTGAATTCACTCGCATATTAGTTGAAGTTACCTTCGTTCCACGATTGCGTTCACGTCCAAATGAAGAGTACCACGCAGCACCACGTTTGCATATGGCAGGTGCTGAAGCAATGGTTTCGATATTATTTACTGTAGTTGGACAACCAAATAAACCGATGTCAGCTGGAAATGGTGGTTTTAGACGTGGTTTACCCTGCTTGCCTTCGATTGATTCTATCAAAGCCTGGAAATTTTATCAAGAATTTCAAAAAATCTATAATAATTGCAGAATTAAGAAAGAATTAGAATAAAAAAAGACGAAAGTTTATCTCAATAAAACTAACTGTTTCTTCACCACATATGTAAGCTCCAGCACCTCGGTGAACAAATACGTCGAAGCTATAGCCTGTATCACAACTGTTTTTGCCAATAAATCCAGCCTATTAAAAAGAAGGAACTTAAATGCTAAAACTGAAGAAACAAAAACAAAAAATACGAAAAAGTTAATTAAACTGACTCTACTACAATTTCTGCACAGAAATAAAAACTGCTGGTGGAGGCTACCTGAGCATTATTTCCAACAACATGGCATTACTGCCTTGCAACTGAAACCGAACGCAAACAGGAACATATGTTATTATATTTTATATTAACATCGGTTCCACTTGTCACTACTTGCAGAAACATTTTCGACATTTTGAATTATTACTCCTAATAAATCTTACTTTGTAAGCTTCATGTATAGCTTCTTGTAATATACAAGCTTCATTATAGAATTCTCCTCTTATGTAAATATATGCAGCACGAGCGCCCATTGCATAACCAGCAATCAAAGCACCTTCGATCAATTTATGTGGATGATGACGTATCACTTCACGATCTTTGCATGTTCCCGGCTCTCCCTCATCTGCATTTATGCATAAATATTTCGGTCTAAAAACGCCATTACGCTTAACTTCTGCTTTCACTCATATTTGAAATTCAGAATTTTTATAAATCTATTAGACAATAATAACATGATTCAACATGAAGATGGCTGACAGACTAAGGACAAGGAAAGCAAGAGAAATGTTGAAAAAATTACAAATGGAACTAACAGGAATAAAAATGAAAAAGTTACAAATAGGAATATTCTTTTCACTATGAAGGTTGAAGCAACCAACCTGCCATCGAATGGACGTTTCATGAAGCTCCATTTCATGCCTGTTGGAAAACCAGCGCCACCACGACCTCTCATGCCCGACGCGCTCATTTCTTTGATAATCCAATCTTGGCCTTTTAGTAATACCTCCTTTGTCTTATACCAGTCTCCCTAAAAACTATTTTTATAAATTCATTATAAATAAGATTTGAAATTAATTTTCGCACAACTTTTTCTATCCAAATATTGAACAAATTACGAGCTTCATTGCCGATTTTAGCCGAAAATCATATCTGCCATAAAGATTTGTAAAAATGCGATCTTCATCTTTCAGTGGACCGAATTTTGTTTGCTGTGGCTTCTTTAATTCATCTTGAGCAGTAGCTGTTTTACCACGGACGCTAATTGAAATAATTCCTGGAAGATATTTTAGTTAAAGTTAAACTAACGAATGCTTTTGAAGAATAATTTGACTTTCGTCATTAACTTATCGAAAACATCATTAAACAATACCAAGTCCAACCATGCAAGCAAATAATAATAATAACCATCCCTTAAAATGTAAACTTCTTCTTGAATTTTAATAATGAGCGTTAATTTTTATGCGAAAATACTACAGCAAAAATGAATTTTCAATGGCTTTGAAATGTTCCATTTTTTCAAAACCAAAGATTCAACATAGAAAAAAAATTACCAATTCTGCTCACAGGTAACTTCATAAAGCAGCTAACCGCCATGGAAGCCATCTAGGAAACGCACCTGTGAATCACAATTATTATAAACTCATATTTGTAATAACTATTGTTATATTTATAACGATTGACAATTTTTTGAAGAGTTGCAGTCAACATTAGCTACAGCTCGTTTCGCATATAGCATAATTTCCTTTACAGCTGAACATCGTGTATCTATTCAGTGGTTTGCATGTATTAGTTAAATTTAGAATCGAATTTTACAATGCACGAAACTCGTCCTACGTATTCAAGGGGTTCATTAATGAAAGAAATAATGATCGCAAAACGTGACCATAACGTATTCAAAATGTATGGCTAAATAAATAATAATAGACATGAATGTAGAATGAAGCATGGGAAAATCTTATAAATATAATAATTCCAAAATCACTGCTATAATCTATTCAGTGGTTTGCATGTATTAGTTAAATTTAGAATCTAATTTTACAATGCACGAAACTCGTCCTACGTATGCGGAAGTGTCTTTAAATATTTAAAATCGTCCTACGTATGAGGAAGTGTCTTTAAATATTTAAAATCGTCCTACGTATGAGGAAGTGTCTTTAAATATTTAAAATCGTCCTACGTATG